AGGAATGTAAACTGCATTTGCAGTTAGGTATTATTGATACAACATGCAGTTGTATTCTACCTGAAGAGTTATATTCAATGAATTCAAAAGAGCCTGTCACAAAAGATCTTAATTAAACCTTGCATATCCTTCTGCTTCTTTACATCTTGTTCATAAACTGAAATATGTGAGAAAGATTAGCAGAAAGTGTCAGAGCAGAGTGATTACAGAGAAAATGAAAGGACATGAAGAAGAAAAAAGAGGATTAGAGTGGTGACTTTACAAAAATTACTTATGTAAAGAAGAAGGAAAAGCAGAAGGAGTATTGTGGTTTTTGCTAAGTCCTGCATAAAAATCAAAGACCAGACAGCTGACTTCTAGTCCTGAATTTGCCAGACTGAACAGAGGACTTCAGGCAATGCACATAATTCCTTTTTGCCTTAATTCCTTCTTTAACACAGAGAGTGAAAAAAGCCTGGCAAGCTCTTTAAGAGGAAAGTATTTCTAGAAACAAAGGTAAGTAAGAAAAGACAAACTAAGTGTCAATGTTCATGTATTTATTTTTTTCCATTGCTACGCATTTGGACTGATGGCTCAAACTTACGTGCTCCTAGTCCTAAACTGGGGAAAGGAAATAGCTTTAAATGAAGACAAAGAAGAGTATAACATATTTTACCAGTGTAATAACACCTTTTCTTATGAAAGCAAGTGATATTTCTATTAGATCAAGTAAGGAACACTGAGGTATTCATAGTTCTGACAGCTTATGCTAAGAAACAAATAGTATAATCTTACTAATTGATAGATGAATACATCACCTGAAAAACATGTCAGATCTGTAGATCTGGGATTATTTTGATTTCTGTCACTTATCCCTAGCCAAAATCAGCTCTTCACATAGCAAACACATAGTAAGTAACAACTCTATTTGATCAGAACAGAGAGGCAAAGATCGGTCACGGAGACAGAAGTATAAAATTATTTGTTCCTGGTCACGAAGGCTGTCACTGATGGAGGCAGAATTAGAGAACAGGTCTCGGTAAGACCAGATATATACTGACTGCTGGGTCACACTGCCTTTCAAACCAAAGCCTTTGGGGAATGGGTGGAACAGTGGAATGCATCTAGCATCTCTACCCTTTGTCAGGCAAGGAGCAATCTGTTAATTGAGGCAGCACCTCCCTGCCTGTCATGTATTTGGGTGCGAGGGCATTCTGAAATATCTTTTATCTGCTTTACTAGCTTCCCCAAAAGACTGTAGTCAGATGGTCTAGTGTCTTTGTGGTCCCTAACAGGTTTACTACACTGCTTGTCTTTTTATGTGAAGCCTTTTGAAGTTGTATAAATGCATGCAAAAGAGCAGTACTTTTACTTGTATTTGAAGTACAATAAAGAAAACATCAGTGTTCAGATACTCACTGATATAACAATATAATTATTCAATGTAGAAAATGTAACAAAGGTATTTCATAAGTTCCTCTTCCAAGCATACATTGGTATGCATACTCTACATCATTCCCAGACCTGCTCAAGGAAGAATAATGCAACCTTCTCCCTGAGATGGGTGGGAGTGTGAAAGGACAATGCAGTATTTTAGATAAAGAA